GAGACATTTATAAAATTCGCCACTAATCGCGTCTCGATTACTTGCGAAAGGTCAGTGAAATTGTATATCAAATATACGATTTAGAGAGAAAAAGAATATCCATTTATTCGGTGCGCCTGTATTTATATTTATATTTATATTTATATTTACCAGCGTCCATCTTGCGCGAAAAATAACGATATGCTCGCGCGATCTTTTTGCAATTCCTTTTGCAATCTCTCCGCGAAATTTTTCGCCTTGCAGCGCTCTTGCAAATCATCGCACGATGTACCGTGGTCCCCGAAACGATTTTCATTTCGATCTTAATTTCGATTTTTATTTCGACGTTTCACTGTTACTTACACGGATATACATAACGGAAGCATGATTCTTCCCTTGATAGTTCCTTCGTGACAAACAACGCGACATCACACACTGCTCAATCCTTACTAAAAATTATTTAAGAAAACTGTCACGTTGCTTCAGCAAGACTTGAACTCGTTAATTGGACTTTTCATTGATCAACGTTTAAAATTAACTCCGTTCGTCCATTAATATTAATTACCTCGATAATTAATATTCACTTCCCCATCTAAAAAAGAATTTCTTAAAAATTCCTCGAATCTAGCGATATTTTTATTATTAATATCCCGAAAATTCTGATTTTTCTTTTCCGAAAACGTCCGATATGGAGTTAATTAAAAATTGGTCTCTGAAGAGGTTTCATCGCGTGGGAAGAACGAGCAACGTTGCTTCAGACTGATAACAACGATCAGACTTTTGCGTACTTTTATTAAGAAAAAAAGCCGAGGAAAAAAATTAAAAAAAAAAAGATTTTAAAGAAAGGAAGAGATAGAAGGAATATGTCCAGTACAGCAGAAACAGGTCGTAGAAGATGTATGTGTAACGCTCGTTCGGTTTTTAATCCCTTTTCCTCCTTCTCCATCCGCCATTACACCGTCTCGAACGAGACTCTTATTTTCGAATCACATCTGTTTGGATGTTTCCTCTTGGTAGTTTGCTAAGGTTTCGCGTTTATCGTTAAACGGTGTCGAGTATGGAATGGGTGATAGCGTTTAAGGTTATAATGGGAGAAAATAATTGCTGCGAGGCGAGGAGCGAATGTTGATGGAGGAATGAGAAAAGTATCTATACGTAAAGATAGACGTATATAATATATCTGTAACACATGTTCTATATGTTATTAAGACAATAAACGGAAGACCGATCGAGAGCCTCTTCTTCTGTCCTTGTGAGATATTTTAAGACATTTTCGAAGGGAAATTTTTATCTATGCTAATTGGGCTTTAGGTCGATCGTTGTGTCGTAGATTGGCACCATTGGAAAGTTTTATTCGCCGCTATTAATTATACCGATTGTTGGCCGTTCACAGGCCACAGTGGTTTCATTTTCTCAATCCTTTTTCGTTTTCGTGCCGAAGTACTTGATGCATATTCGAATATATTTGAAGTGAATATTTGATGAAATTACATATACTTGAAATAAATTAATATTAAATTATTCCTTTTTAAATAAACTTCCGGGTAACCGATATCTTTAGAGTCTAATAGTTGTATTCGTTTGTAACAAAAGTAGGTATAAACAATTAGGAATGACACGATGTTCGGAGAAATTTGTAGAACGTCTGGTATGTTGGTAAAACAGGCTGTCATAGTTATTTGCAGCAGTATAAAATTTTGAATTTGTGTTGAACTAATTCTCGTGTAAATAAGGATATAATTAGAGAACGGATATTTAATTTTATATATAGCAATTTGGTTTTACGTTTTAATTCTGCGATATTATAATGGAGTATTCAGTGCTTGTTTATTATTTTTATTTTGCCTGTGTTTCTGGAAACTGGTCGTTTATTATTTACAATTATATAATTGGTAGTCATTTTGGATCGGGGAGATTAATCCAGTGATAGGTTTGAACTTGTTGGAAGTGGTTGTAGTATTAATAAAATTATATTTCTTAATAATCTAAATTCTATTTTTACTTCTCGTATGTCAGGATACGTAGCTTTTAATATAGGCGAAGCATTGCGGGGTTAATTCGACGTCCATATCGTTATATAAAAATATAAAAATATCAAATAATTATACGACTCGCGGATCGCATTATCATCCAATCGACTATCGTCCAATTTTCTATTATTAGACCCTTCCATTCGATATTTTATATTTAAAATAATTATTGAGCATATGACGCAAGTCTGGCGCAAAAATGCGAAACTTATTTTTATAAATAAAGCAAATTGAAGTATTATTATCGGTAGGTGTGACCTGGCAATCTGGGGTTACTTTGGACCTTAAGTTTATCACTTGGATTGCAGATAGGACGAGGTACTTCGCGATTCCATGAATCTCACGATATCGACTGTGTTTTCTTCGTTCTCCAACTTTTTCTCCGCTTTTTTCACTCTTTGTGCCTACAATATTTATAAATTTGTGAAACGAAAAGGAAAAAATGTTAGCCCGCGAAAATACCCTTATCATAGTTCGTTATATTTCTCCGATATCGGACTAATATTCCACGAACATAACTTATTTTATTCGATCAACGTTCCACTAATATTCGATAATTATAGTTTATTTTATCCGTTTAATATTTCCCTAATATTCACTGAATATAGCTTATTTTATTCGACTAATAAATATTCCATTAATAATCGGCCAATGTAATTTATTAAATTTTATTAAAATTAAATTCGAATTAAATATAAATTTTATTAAAATTAAATTCGAATTAAATTTAAATTTTGTTAAATTCAATCAATATTCGTCGAATATTATGTTCCACTAATTGTCGAATAATTAATTATCCCTGCGATCACGATATTTTTATTCGTCTTTTCTTCGACGCAGAACGGTATCGGGAAAACTGCGATTATTTTCCATCTCGAGGCATAAAATGATCGAACGAACAGCTGAAAATAATTAAACTGTACCTTCCCGTTAGGCCAAGATTCCTCAGGTATTTTTAGAGGTCTCTTACCGGTGCCAAACGAGCAGCAACTCGTGCATCGAGTTTGCCATTGTTTCGCATTGCACAAGCAGTCGTGTCTTCTCAAAACTTAATCTATATTTGCAATGGACGACACCAGATCGGTAGAGCACACGATAAGCCTTCCAGCGAATTTTATTCGCGGTCGTGAGTTTTTGGTAATCTGCTCAGACGAAATTATCTTCGATCATACTGCGCTTTTTGCAGCAATAAATCGTTCAATATCGACCCCTGCTCGGTGGTTGCAGTCGAGAATATTTTGTCGCGTCGATGTTGCTCGATCGATATATTCCATATCGTTCGAGGAACAAAGTCGAACGTGTTGTTATTTAATAATTTAAAAAGGAATTTCTTCCAGAATTTTATAACAATTTTTCCGATCCTCTTTTAGGTGTCAGGGTGAAGAAGAGGGTAATTTAAAAGAGAGTATTAGCAATTGGGGAATAATTCTATTTTACATTTGTTGCTTGATCATTCACTTCTCAGCAGTTCCTTATCCTTACTCTGGTGTAAGTATCTCGTTAATTTTAATTAGAATTACTCGTGAGAAAATAAAAATATTCGCGGGTCTCGCCATATTTCAAGGGTTCAGAATGCTGCAAAGGCGAAACAAGATACGAAAGTACAATAACAAAGGAGAACGCGTTTCCTATGTTAATTACAAATTAATCGGGAATTCCGAGAGAAGTCTCTTTCAGCCCTCTTAATCGCTAAAAATCGAACCTTTTATTCTCTTACGTATAATTATAACAAAATAAAGTTCCACTCAACGAACGGAGAAGTAGCTTCCTAAGTGTACATTAAATCCCACCGAGAAACGGAAACATCGTTTCACGAGAATAATAATAAAAATGAAAAATTACATCGGATCAAAGCTGTCTTCTCGATTACATCGGAAAGCACGTGCTTCCATTTCTCTAACCGTTAAAAATACAATAACAACTTTACAAAAATTGACCATACATCACGGACCTGTCATATCGACGAGAGTCAACCGAGATCAAGCATCGAGATCCTTGTTAATCCCGTTTGACCTTCGAGGATGAACCATTTTGCTGGATCCATCCGGGCGGTGTAAGGAAAGAAATCACGCATGTTCGAAAATGGCAGCTGTTTATTACTAAAAAAAAGAAGAGAAGGAAAATAGTGGACATTAAAAAACGGCTTAAGTCGACGTTAAAAAACGGCTATGTCGCCTGGAAAGCAATACCCTAACGGTTACCCTGTGTGCTTCTGTCGTTGCGATAAGTATCCCTCGATAACAGGAGGAGGAGTCAAAAGAGATGAAAAAAGCAATCTTCGTCTTTCTGATCAGTCTTTACAGCGTTCCTCGATTATCAATGAATGTGAAAGCGATCGAATAGCGCCACGATGTCGCCGTTCAGAAACACTCGTCGCATCTTTTTGCGCAATAACCGATTACTTCCCGTTGATTATAAATAAATATTCTTAATGCCTCGTCTCTCGGATAGCTCGCGTGTCCGACGATTGCACGGCGATCGCATCGCCGATTTCCTTGACATTAAATCTACCACGAACCACCATCGATCGCTAGGTCTTTAAACCGATCCGAATTTTAAACTCGACAATTTCTTGCTTAAGGTGGTTGCTTACTATCTTGGTCGTAATTCAATTTTGAACATTGCAATCTCCTTGTCGTTTGCTTGAATTCCTCTCTTTTAACAATAATAGGAATTTTTATAATTAACATCTCGTAAGATATAATACTTTTGCAACAATTTGTCATACTTTGATACCATTTTTACTGATACCAAAATTTTGCTGAAATTCCCTAAAATCGAGGGAAGCAATTGCACGAATAATTTCTATAATTTTATAATTGATGTATATCACCTATATATATACCTTTTAACAATAACAGGAATTTATATAATTTTTATAATAGGAATAGGAATTTTTATAATTAATATCTCGTAAGAAATAATATTTTTGCAACGATTTCTCATACTTTGATACCATTTTTGCTGAAATTTCTCTAAAATCGAGGGAAGCAATTGCACGAAAAATTTCGCTTCGAATAATTTCGATTAAATTTTGGATTCAGTGCTTATCGTGGATTGTTTATTATCGGTAAATACGTACTCCACTGTCAGTATTTCAATTTTTATATAAGTCCAAGAGGAGCGAATTTCAAAGCTCGTATCTAGCAAACTACACGTCGGATCATGCTCAAATTTAATATACACTCGTATCGACGTCTATAATAATACTTGTATTAGAAATTTTATTTCAGAACCAACCACCTTAACGCAATTACCTTCGCCATTTGACGTGCTTTTTAATATACAAGCTTATCTTATAATATACATATAAACGAGTTTTCAGTATCTCTTCTGGATCGTTTGTTGTTTTAAAAATTCCTCGACTTCCGTCCTTCTTCGTCCGTCATTTCAGCAGTTTCTCGTCCGTTATTTCACCGATTATCAGACCGATCGTGGTAGATCTAGTGCGAAGCTACGCTTACAGACGATACAGGGGAAACGATCACAAAATAAGGAAACAGGCGCTCGATCGAAGCGTCCTATTCGAATTGAAAGCACTCACTCGTCTGAATCACATGAGATATTGCTTATTGGAACATTCTTTCGTAACGATCCGACACTTGGATCTACGAATTTTAACGATTTCGAGTCGCGAGGATCGTGAAAGATCCTCGCTAAAGGCAACGATTAATTTCCCTTCTTCGATTATCTCTTACGTTACGTTACAAAACGCGTTCCTCCAGTTGCGAGCGGCCTGCTGGAGGAACACCTAGGACTCGTACATTCTACCCTTTATTGTCTACCATTCGACATCCGCGTCATATTTGTGGTCGTGTTATCACCAAAGGCCGTCGGGCTTTCGCGGGCCGACTCGAAAATCCCCGAGATAATTCAGATAGTTCGAATTATTTGTCATTCCTAGCATCCTCGACCTTCCATCTTGACAGTCTCGTCGGAGAAATGCTCGGCGAGCCATCGGTCGATCCTATTTTCAACGTCTCCAGGAAGTCCTCCTCGACGGTCGCCGAATGGCAATTCGACGAGTCCCTCGACGCTTCCTGGGACGTGTAAACACGGTTACAAACTATTGCTTTCGAACATAGGCGTGCTCTTGGTCAGTTTCAAGGCTCTAAGCTGCTTGTACAGACGTTGCTTGCAGAACTGATAGAATTCGATCTCCCTGGTGAAGTTGCTCCTCACCATGTCCTTCACCTCCTCGCTGACAGGCGGTTTGAAGAAGTTCCGATTGATCCTCGTGAACGCGTTCACCTCGTCTGCAAGAGAAGCTTCTGTCAGTTTCATTGTCTTATCGCACGGCACGGATGTGCATGATCGATTAGAGCGATAATCGGAACTAGGTGTACTGTTGTTCGCGATGGCGCTGACCGGTGCACGATATTTCGTGCTCAAGGCAGGTTTGTTTCTGGGTAATTGCAATGGTCGAGCCAGGTTTACAGTTACATGCAAATAAGGGAACAAAAGAATTACCGTAGTAGACGTCGGTGGCGCCTCGGAAAAATCGGGGTATGTAATTTTCCAATACCGTGAGAGTGGTATTCACGTCCTCCAGCACGCCGACCACCGCGTAGTGTTTCTCCACTGCCATTTTCGCTCGTTCCAGGGCACCCACCGTGTTGAACGGGCTTCGGAGAGACGACAATTGATAAGTATGACAGGTGATTCGAGTATAGCGTGACGGAATGGTAAAGATATGGAATCCGAGGGATAGATGAGATATGTACGTAATCTGACGGTTCAGCGTTGAAAGAATTTTATGGGTAATTTTCTTCTATTTTGTTCTTTTGGCAGAATTTACTATAGCACTGTCAAGCGTTGAAACGATAGATTTTGATTCTTCCCTGCGATTGTGATTTTTTAAAATTTTATATAGGGATAGAAGTGTAATATAAAGGAAAATTTGAACGTCGACAGAATTTTATGGATAATTTGATTCTATTTGGTTGTTTTGGCGATAGAACTGTCAAGTGTTGAAACGATAGACTTTGATTTTTTCTTGCGATCACAATTTTTTAAAATTTTATATAGGGATGGAAGTATAATATAGCGAAAAATTTGAACGTTGACAGAATTTTATGGATAATTTTTTTCCATTTTGTAATTTTCACGATAGAACTGTCAAGTGTTGAAACAATAGGTTTTGATTCTTCCTTCTCTGCGATAGCGATTTTTTAAAATTTGATACAAGGGTAGAATTGTAACATACACTTAATTAATGTCAAACTTAAAAATTTGGTGTTTAGTATATATGTAATTAAATTTTTAATATTGTCTATGAGATTTTTCTTTCACACTCTCATCTATCAGCTATGATAGGTTTAGTATTAATAATCATATAGTTATATGTTTGTCTTATTTTATTTTTTCTTTTATTCCTTTTCATTCGATTATAATTTAGGTACTCATTAAAGTTTGCTACTTCTGACGTTAATAAATGTAAATAAATGAATATTAGACACTTTTGGTAGCATTCTAAATGATTTAAATATTCGTATAATATATGTTATTGAGAAAGAATGCTTTTAATAGTAGTTGTGTGGTAACAAGAGAGACGTATGTTAGAGCAATCGATATTTCCAATATTTAACATTTTACTTTACAATTAGGGAGAGTAACTCCAAGTAACTGACATTGCAGAATATGGATTTGGGAACTAGTAATTTAATTACCAAGTTGTTCCTCAAACAATCTTTAATTTTCTGCTAGAGGGAATGATATTAGATTAGTGCATACGAAATCTCATTTCCACGAAGTTTCTAATTAGCAGAATCCACTTTGTCGACGTTGTCTGGCATCCAATTATCAAAAACTATGTCAGAAAATAAAAGATAATAGATACATATCGAATATTTTAACGTTGGATTAACATAATCAATTACTTGGAAGTTACAATAATTTTTATTATAAATTTAATCTTGAAAAATATTTTCTCTTATTACTAATATTTATATCAACACGCTATATTATGTATGCAATAGTTTCACATCAATTTACAGAAATTAAGGCCAATACCCTCTGCCTAATAAATAACCACCCCAATAATCCTAACAAAATAAGGCGAAAAGCAAATTACATTATTCCCCATCCAATTTTTATTTTCATTCCATTTCATTTAACATCAAAACCCACCCTAACTTTTCCAACATTACATTCTAAATTCATGAGACTCTAAGAAAGACAAATCTCATACTTACCATCCAAGTAATCGAATTTTTATTTCTATTAAACCCTCTAAGTATTAAACCCCATTCTAACCCCAGCAACGCCAACACATTCAAGCCCTGTAAAAGTGTGAAAACGAGAAATCTCATAGCAAGTTCACAAGCAAGTACATAATGGAGTACTTCCCATATACTGGGACGCAAAGATGGAAGATCTTTGCGGAAATAAGCAAATACGAAGATTACTCGTTGGAGGATAAAATCTATCAGACATATAGCATTTAAAGTTAAATTCCTCCTAGCTGTCCAGTGTATCAGTGGCGCGAGCTTAAAGCCAGAGCTTAAAGAGACCTACGTGCATTTCTCGCTGTGGCCGCAGAAGAAAAGCGTTTGCCTGCGATGATCGCCGATCCCCTCGTGAATTTCACCCTCCAGGTATCTGCATTCACGGTCCGCCTTAAGTACACAGGACTCGAAGTCCTTCTTCAGCCAGTTCGGATCCGGCAGTGGTAGGTCTGGAAATATTTGCTTTCTCTCGACGTAATACCAAGGTGCTCGTACGTAATAGTACCAGGATATCACTCTCTCAACAGGATCCCGGACTATGTTGATGTAAATTGGCTGCGGCAGGTTGAATCTGAACGGAAAAACGTGCCAGGTTAGATATCCCGTGGGAATTTAGCTTGGGTTACTTCCGGGTACTTGGCTAGCTAACCCCCGGAGCAAAGATTTCTCGCATTTTTCCCCGTGTCTTTTGCTTGGCAGGAATATCTGCCAGGAATTGGGAGGAATTTGCTTGGCAAGGAAGAATTCGATTCCAAGCTTCACTCTCTTCGTTTTATTTATATTATGTTTATGGTGGAACTGTGATTCTTGGGAATTTAGTAATTTTTTAGTAAATTTATCGTCTTTGTTTCTATTATTTTTATTTTTATTTTGTGTTATTGCTTTTATTAATTTTTCAATAATTTAATAATTTTATTTAATTTAATAATTTACTGTTCGGTATTGTCGTAACTTTTAGATTTAAAAATAAAGGGAATCAGGGGATTTGACTATTCCAACTATTAATTATTTCAAACGAATAATTTAATTTAATTTAATAATTTACTGAACTCCGTTTGATCGTGGAAATAGAGTTTAATTTGGGATTTATTAGTAATTAAATGGAAGAAAATTTAGAAAAATTCGTTATATTCTTATTGCTTGTATTAATTTTTTAAAATACAGTTCGATATTGTCATAGCTTCTAGATTTAAAAATAAAGGGAGTCACGATTTAATTATTAGAGCTATTAATTATTTCAAACGATCCTACTTCAATTCCTTTTCCTTTTCAATTATACGAGATTCTTTATGCTATGACGAATTTTATAAATTGTATAAATCTTCGAATGTAAATTCAAATTATAGTAAAATATTTTAACCCTGCTCGGTCGTGGAAATAGGAAATAGATAAATAGAAATGTGGGATTTGTTAGTAATAAAATGGAAGAAGAATTAGAAAATTGAATTATGTTCTTATTGCTTGTATTAATTTTTTAAAATACAGTTCAAGTCACTGACTATCTCAACTGATTTCAGGACACTTACTCGGTGAAGTTCGTGAAGCACACGTGCTTTATGTAGACGGATGGTTCGGCGTAGCTGCTCACCATTGTGGCAAGTTGAACCTAAAAGCAAACAGGTGTGTATCAATGCTTAAACAATTTTTATTTTTATCCTCATTAATAAATTATTAATTGACATTCAATCGACACAGGAATAATTTACACAGTTTATTTTTCGAATTACTGGCAAACTCGATAATTACAATGTAATAACATTTCATAAATGTTTCAGTACCTGCTCAATTGGCGCCAGGCGTATAGTTTCGACTCTCTGCACGCGATCTCTGTTGAAGGAGAAACCATTCCTCATGGACAGCCTCCTCAACAGTTCCATGAAAGTTTGAGAGCCCACTTTTGGTACACGATTGAAGAACAAGACGCTCCGGCCCGCTCTTCTCGTGTTGTTCAACGCGTCGATGTCCAACACTTCTGCTTCTTTGTACTGAAACCAGGTGAAGTACCTTTAAATTTCCATTTTCTTTTTCCGATTTATTCCACCCTCTTCGCCTCTACAAATTATTTCTCGCGATCTATACTTTATTTCCGATATTTAGGCATTTTTTAAGCAACTTAAAAGTCAATTCTAAAAATTCACATTGCTTATACGTTATAAAAAGATATTACTTCATAATTTATTAATTATGGAAAAATTATAAATTTTTATTAAACATTATTTCATAATTTTTTGAGCTTCAGTGTTAGTTTTACGCTTTACTTTTAATTGAAGGACCGGGATAATTAAAATTTTAATAGATTTGCAATATTTAAATATATCGTATTTAAAAGTTATATTATATACGATATATGTTATTGGTTCAAGCAGCCATTTTTATTCGTCCCCTTTATATTAGGATACAACAAATTATAATCAGTGAATCAAAAATGAATAAAATCGGAATTTGGTTAATTTAATTAAAAAGAAATACAGAGAAATGATTTAATTTATTAAAAAAAATATTTTTTATTTTATAGATCATTCAACGTAACAGCTTTAATTATCGTCAAACGATTGGTCCGTGTCAAGTTTCGTTGCCATAAACGAATCGTAATAGCAAGGGTAAGAAGAGGAAAGTTGTCACGATTCCGATTATACGTTGCCTTCTTTCCTTGGGAATTTTCATTTTCTATCCAGGGAGAGTCGTTCTCATCCCATTCCCTTTCGTTGAGTAACTATTTACGATATCAGCCAGTCATTCTGGGCTACACGGCAAACGCGTAATTGCAAATGGAGGCGCGAGTAACGAATACCTTGTTTCACCTAGACTTCCGGGTGCTTTTTGCGCGCGGTACAAACGATCGGCAGAAGATATTAAATAATTGAACCTTTCTGAAGCGTGGTACGTCAATTTCTTCTTATCCACTGCAGTTCGAGCTCGAAATACAATGTTTGATAAGAAAGAAGAGTAGAAAATGGAATAAGGGAATGGGAAATTCTTGAACTCGTTAAAGAGCAAATCGAGGTATCGTATTTCCAATTAAAATATATATAAAGTCATGTTTCCATTCTTTCTTTAACATTTCCTTTTTGAAATCATTTTCACTGTATTAGATTTCGATTCGGATAATTTTAACGATAGGATATTTATGGGAGAAGAGAAATAAATAATTTAAAATATGGGATTATAAATTTCTAAAAGAATTTAATAAATCAAAAATTCTTTTTAACAGTTAGGTAAGATTAGGCTAGGTTAGGTAATGGGATGTGATAGAAATAATTCAGTAGGAAGAAAAATATTCCTAATAATTAAATGGAATATAAATTTTTTAAGGTAAGATTAGGCTAGGTTAGGTAATGGGATGTGATAGAAATAACTCAGTAGGAAGAAAAATATTCCTAATAATTAAATGGAATATAAATTTTTTAATTTATAATTACTTTGTTCTTATAAAATAAATTAATAAATAAATAAATGATTTATAATTGTAGGTAAAATAGGTAAATAGCAAGAGTAAGTGAAATAGGTAAATAGCAAGATTCATTTTTATTCCGGACATACAATTTTATTCCAGTTTCAATAATAATTCCCAGTCTTCTATGAAAACTTATTTTCTTATAGCAATTATAAAATAAGTAAATAAATAAATAAATGATTTATAATTGTAGGTAAAATAGGTAAATAGCAAGATTCATTTTTATTCGGGACATACAATTTTATTCCAGTTTTAATAATAATTCCCAGTCTTCTATGAAAACTTATTTTCTTATAGCAATTATAAAATAAATAAATAAATGATTTATAATTGTAGGTAAAATAGGTAAATAGCAAGATTCATTTTTATTCGGGACATACAATTTTATTCCAGTTTTAATAATAATTCCCAGTCTTCTGTGAAAACTTATTTTCCTTCGAGCTCGTTGTTTATTATATATATTTTACAGCAATAGTGGAATAATATATTATTTCAGTATTAAAATAATATTAGAATAATGTATTCTAGAATAGCTTATGTTTAGCAGCGTTAATCCCTTCTTCGTTTCGATACATCGTGTTTCACTGCACGAGGCCGAGTCGATCAGGGAAACATTGAACCTGCGCTTCCGCAAGCTTGTCGATGATATACCATTCAACCTTGTGGAAACTGCTCGATTAGCCTTCGATTGCTTGTTATTTCGAATTCTTAAACCTTCCAATAGGCTGTCTTTTTCAATAGATAATTGCAGTCTTTCGTTGGCTCGTAGGTAATTTCTCTGCATACTCAAAAACAAGGAAACTTCTCTCAGCCTTCGATCAATGTTATAAACTTAGTAAATCGAGCCCGTTTCTTATTACTTTCATTCAAGAAATTTCTACGCGATATAACACTGCACGTGTCGTATAACTATTATTACATAAATTCAACAGTTCAACGCTAATTTACCATATAACCCCATATAAATCATTATCACACTCATCTCCCCACCTAGTCCTCCTCGAGTTAATCCATAAAATAGAAAAGAAGGGATGGAATATGACATGGTGCACGAGAAATGGATCAAAGACACGCAACATCGTGCAAAATTTCCATCGACGAGTGGGAAAGACAGGATAGTCGTTACAAGCCTGAGAGCTGGACACTCAAAAATTACCCATGAACAGTGGTCGAAGAATACGAAACCACCAGGCTGCGATTACTGCAAGCACTATCAACCAACCACGCTATGAATGCAGAGGATGCGAAATACGAAGACTCGAGTATAAACTGCTCTGAAACACGACTCTGTCGTCGCAGAAACGCGTCGAAAAAATACCCTCGAATATTTAAAAGAGTCCAAGTTGCACCACCAAATTTAGAAACGAAGTCATGCTGTTTTCGATAAACTAAGTTTTCGATAAACTTCTCCCAAGTTTAGATATTTAAATTTTAAATACAAAGACAGGGGCTTAAACTTCTCCCAAGCGTCAAAAATACTTAGTACTTAATTATACTTAGTACTTAGTGATACGAAAGTACTTAAAAGGATTGGAATATTTAGAAAAGTCCAAGCTGTACTATTAACCCTTTGCACTGAGCTTCAGTCACCATTTCATAAAATTTGGAAAATCGATATTAATTAATATATCAAATTTAATGCAATGTAACAGTGTGCGAGATATCGAAATCAAATAATTCTACAATTCTGTTATTATACAATTCTTTATTTACTACTCAAAAAAGTATTGTCAGCTTTTTAGTAGAGAATCTTTGAATTTCTACTCTTCTCTAGCCAAAAGTCATCGAGTGCAAAGGGTTAAAAACGAAGTTTGTCTGTCTAATGATTATGCTGTCAATGCGACACTAACTTCAAATAAAATAAAATAAAATAAAATAAAATAAATTATCATACTATTTCTTTATACAGGACCTTTAAAAAATCGCGTCTGGAACAAGGATTACAGTACTCATTGACAAGATAAATAAAAATTGGCCAATCACGTATAGGGCAATTATTTATAATCAATCCTCTGTATGTAAAGTCGATGTTTGTTATGTACCAATATTCCACGTGAGTTTCCATTTTTAAATATATACAGATCTAATATGAATATGCAAAATATACATATTCCACAGCTGCTCATCTCGACCGCCACTTGGCACACTTAACAACAAGGAAAATAAAATTTCATGACTGCGAATAAATAGCAGAGCAACGCATTTAACCTCTTTACATAGGATGTTTAAAAAGTACCGTACAAAATGAGGCTTACAGTACTCACTGAGGGAATAAATAAAAATTGTCTAACCCCCTGTTACAATAACTTTTACAACCCCCTCTGTGCAAAATCGACTTTTATCATTTATCAATATTCCATATTATTGTAGCGAGAATATTTCGGATGAGTATGAAACGGATTGAGAAAATGTTCGCGTTAGATTATGCGAAAAAGACGAATGAATCCATACCACACACATGGAATTTTAGGAATGCATTGTATCAGTGTATACCATGTGTAAGAGAATAGAAGGAGACCTCCATTGCGAAATTTAAACACAGTCGTGTAAAACTCAGTCGTACAGAATCTAGAAGAACAGACATGTCCAATTGTCATTATGGTTTTGCCATAATTCCACTTCAGTTGGTAACAAATACATCTGAAACCTAGCATCTCCCATGTCAATCCTATTTTCTGCACATACGAGTTGCCAGGTTTAACAGTCATGTAAAACTCAGTCTCACAGAATCTAGAAGAACAGACATGTCCAATTGTCCTTATGGTATTGCCATAATTCCACTTCAGTTGGTAACAAATACATCTGAAACCTAGCATCTCCCATGTCAATCCTATTTTCTGCACATATGAGTTGTCAGGTTCAACAGTCGTGTAAAACTCAGTCTCACAGAATCTAAAAGAACAGACATGTCCAATTGTCGTTATGGTTTTGCCATAATTCCACTTCAGCTGGTAACAAATACATCTGAAACTTAGCATCTCCCATGTCAATCCTATTTTCTGCCCATACGAGTTGCCAGGTTTAAAAATACGAAATCGAATAGGAATATGCAATTGCTATTCGCAAGAAGCAATTATTCCACGAGTCCCCATCTCGACTGCCACTTTGCACGCTTAACAGGAAGGAAAATAAAATGCCACGGCTGCGAATAAATAGCAGAGCAACGCATTTAACCCCCCTGGTCCCGCAAACAGAGCAGCATCCAGCGATCATGCAAAGTACGTAACCCCTGTCACACGGAGAGTACAAGGCTCGCACTTGTCTTCCTTTTCCTGTCCACGTCCCGTGGCTTGGCATTACGCCGCAAGCACGTTACGTTATTACATTATTACTACACGCGTTTGCACGCTTCCTCCTCGATTACGGATTCCCCGGCTGCGTTCTTCCTCGAATTCTTCGTCAATTTACGGGCCATCCTTCCGGCTGCTGGCCACGGTATTAGACGATCGCGACGTAATTTCTTTCACGGTTATCCGTGTAATGGTAAAGATTACCAGAGGAAATCCCGAGTTTACCTCCGTTACTGTTTCCCAATAACCGTGGCCTAACTACAACCCTCGGAACATCGCTCTGTTCTTTCATTTTTCCCTATTCTTCTCATTTCTTCCCCTGTTAATTGACGGGTATTTAATTGCGAGATCAGGACTGCTTCTTTCAGACCACGCCATTTTCTTTCTTTATATTCTTTCCGCGTTTACTCTCTTTTCTTTGATGCTTGGTGATTTTATTCTTCCTTTTCTGTGGCTTTTTGGAAGCAGTCGTGTCTTAGAGGATATTCGACGATTGACACGTAATCTCATGCACAGTTATTTGTGTAATGGTGAAGATTACGAGAGGAAATTTTGAGTTTATTTCTGTTACTGTTTTCCAGTTGCCATGATCTAACTACAGCCCTCGGAACATCGCTCTGTTCATTCATTTTTCCCTATTCTTCTCATTTCTTCTCTTTCTTACTTGTCTCTTGTTCCTCCGGTGTGGAAAGGGGGATGTTAATTGAGGGGTACTTAATTGCGAGAACAGGATTGCTTTTTTCAGACCACGCCATTTTCTTTCTTTATATTCTCTGCGTGTTTGCTTTCTTTTCTTTGGTGCTTGGTGATTTTATTCTTCCTTTTCTGTGGCTTTTTGGGAGCAGACATGTCTTAGAGGATATTAGACGATTGACACGTAATTTTACGCATAGTTATTTGTGTAATGGTGAAGATTACGAGAGGAAATTTTGAGTTTATTTCTGTTACTGTTTTCCAATAGCCATGGCCTAACCATGGTCTTTTTATTTTTCCTTTTTCTTCCCATTTTTTCCCCTTTCTTCACCTTTCTGCTGTGTAGGAAGTAGGATGTTAATTGACAGGTATTTAGTTACAAGGACAGGATCACTTTTGGACAAATTGACGTTTGTATTAGTACTAATTTACGTGGTTGCATTAACAACGATTGATCGAACTGTAAGATTTTTGTTCGCAATTCTTTCGGATAAAATGGCCGCTGCGTGGAATATAGGACTACGAGATCTTCTGTTTGCTGTGATAACAGAGCCACAGGAATTACCGTTCGCAGACACTCGTTGTTCTTTCTTCACACTCTACTTCTCAAATGGACTTCGTCGTAATGGACCTTTCTTTCGTTTCGCGTTATTACAGTTACCTAATTAAAGCCGTGAATCCATCGAGAGCAATTTGCATCGCATTCGTGTCACCTAGATTAAACCGTGCTCCTTGTTTTCGCGAAATTTTACGCCGAGTGTGTTAATTAGGTACTGAATTGTGCTAGAAAAATTTTGTAACGATGGAAGCAGGATTTTAGGATTCGAATAAATTTTGGTAGAAAAATTTCATAACAGTAGATTCGAGTAGGCAATTTAAATCTGTAAAATTTACAAATAATTCCTTTTCAAATTTGCAGCTCGTCATTGAGGTACCTGATCATGTTAGTAAAATTATACGAGTCTTCCTCTTCATTTTACAACTCCATTACAAATTTATGACAAATTTGCATTACAAATCCATTTCAAGGTTTCTTCAAACCACGCGTGGAAGCAAGAGTACTTCTATATTGCGTTACAATTGCGATTGAAGTTCGGATAGGTTATAAATTTAAATAATTATAATTTAGATAATATCATTATATAACATTGAATAACAATATAAACTTATATTAAACGATATTAATTTAAATAGCATCGTATTAAATCGACATTGCAGAGACGAAATAGCCGAATTAAACTCATCAATTGAACCCTGGTGAGGTCAGGGTTCGAGACAAGTAACGAGACCAGGACGAAAGAGAAGAGTTGAGAAATGAAATATTGAAATACTGAGAATTAAAACGCGAAACTAGGTTAAAAAGTCTTCAGTCATGCTTCACTGTCTCCTCGTAGGCGACAATAGTAACCCAGTTACTTCAAGTGCACACGTCCCGCAATTACCCTGGTACACGCATGCTCGCGGAGAAATTCTAATTAATATATCTACTTAACATCTTCGTCGATATTTCTAATCGTAGTTTCTAATCGTAGTCGTGATAAAAGTGCAATAAGAATATGTCATTTGCCACGATCAACTCGGATATCAGACAGGTGTGCCATAAATTCAGAGTAACGTTCATGGTCGACGTGTTTAGGCGATTAATGGTTAGCCTGAAAGGCAGCAATCTATTTCGCGGTTTCACGCATCGCGGCTACCATAATGGCTCCGCGTGTTATTTTTCGCTTCTTCTCGCAGTGCGAGCATCTCCCTCTTCCTATTTTGTACGACGTTAAGTCTCGCTGATTCCTGGGTAATCGTAAGTCGAACAAGGGTCGTCGAGGTAATTCTAAATCGACTCCTCGTCTTCGAGCGAATCGCGAAGGTTTAGAGAAATCGAATTTATTCCATGGAAGTGCGAATGAAATTGTAGTTTACAAGAAATGTATAAATTATGAGATTTATTGTTAATAACAAATTGTTCGCAACGTAAATTTATTACGAAAGTTAAAAAATTAACGAATTATTGGTTATTACTTGAATTTGTAACGTGTTTATGTTAAAATGTACATATAATTTACAAAAAGTTTATAAAGTATGACACCTATTGTTAATAACAAATTGATACTGTTAATAATTAATTGTTCGCGATGTAAATTTATAATGGAAATTAAAAAATTAACAAATTTCTGGTTATTGCTTGATCTTATAACGAATTTCTGTTAAAATGTACATATAATTTAACAAAATGTTTATAAATTGGTACACTTATTGTTAATAACAAATAAATATTGTTAATAACAAATTGTTTGCAATGTAAATTTATAATAGAAGTGAAAAAATTAATTAATTATTGGCTATTAAAGCGGAAAAGTAATAATTACTGGAATCGGAAAAGTTCGGAAATTTTCGCTGATCTTCGACCGACCGCCGCTATATAAGGGGCCCGCGTGCAGGCTCGAGCCAGTTGTCGCTTTGACTCCGGAAGGTCCGCGTTAATATTTTTTCTTTTTGTTTCAGGTTTTAATTATTTCTTCTTTCAGATTCTATTTCTTTCATTCTAGTTTTCATTGTTTGTGCATTCGAGTATTTCGTACAATATTCGAATGCTTCGTCGTTGGTTTATTTGTATATAATCGTTGGCTAGATCAATGGCTATTCAGTTGCCATTGTCCACTCTCTTAAATAATTTCACAATAATTTCTTCTTTCAGGTACTAATTATTTTTTCTTTCAGGTTCTAATTATTTTTCTTCTTCCAGATTTTATTTCTTTCATTCTATTTTCTTTGTTTCAGCATTCGAGTATTTCGTATAATATTCGAATGCTTCGTCGTTGATTTACTTATGTCTTATCGTTGGCTAAATCTTTCCTTTCACA